TAATAGACAAAATCTATCTCGAAAATCGCATCCCAATCTATATCAGCCCAACCTCGTCCCCAGGGTCTTCTTCGTGCATGGCGCGTGAAAAATGAGAAGACCCTGGTAAAGGTAACCTGAAGTTCAGGCCCTAATCACAGAATAGGGCCTGACACAAAACCTATCCAAACTGTGGGATTCCCGTCCATCTGGTGGACGGGAAATCTGATTGGTTGATCAGCATCATGAAGGATTTTGATTGGTTGCAAGTTCACATAAACAACAGTTTTAAAAATAGCTCGGTCAAGGGCTCAAGGCGACAATTAATATAAAGGTCAAACGCACGTAACAATTTTCATTATCGATTTCTTCGAATTTCTTTTCTTTTATGCTTTATGGCAGAAAATAAATCAAACGAACAGTATTTTGAAAGGGATTCATCAAAATCTTTGACGAATTTTGGACACACGACGCTGAAAGAACAGCCAAACTAGTCATGTATTCGAAAGCTTGTTGTTGACAGCCAAGATGTTCTGCCAACTGGCTTCGCCGGCAAAAGTCTTATTTTTAATATCAGGTCCTACCGGCGTTGTTTTCTGAGCTACATCGCCTTCTTCGTGGTACGATTGAGAATTTCATTGTTGCTGTTGTTGCTAATAGCCCGTTTAATAGTCGTTAGAGTATATCCACGTCCAGCAAGTTGAGACCTTGAGAAAGCTTGGCAGTCAAGCTGTGCACAGAACTGACTAATTAAATCTTTGTTTGCTGTTCGGTTAAATAGAGAAACTGACTCTTAATTATATATTAAAAGTACCTTGAATTTTTAAGTTTAATTAAAAAGCAAAATGCACACTCTGCGGACATGTTCATGAGAATATAATTTTTTTGTGTAACGAAATCTACAACACTTGTCAATCATATTGCATGTTGTGTCTAAAAATAACATGTGGGCGTCCCACGGTCTAGACAGGTTTTGTGTCAGGCCCTATTTCAAATTAGGGCCTGAACTTCAGGTTATGGTAAAGCTGTGAAAATCTCCACGATTCATGGACATTTTAGTGCATGCGCAAAAGCGAATTTGCCTTGGCGCTGACCATTTCATTGCTGGCGTACAAATTTTTCATGGCCTTGAGATGAAATATTTCAGTTTGGAAATGTATTTTTTTCCTAAAATATACCTCTAGATAAGTAATTTCTCTTCAAAAATTAAGATGTCTAGAGAGAGAAAATAACAAGAAGCTAGCACGTCTAATTTTTATCTTCCTGGCCGAAGAATTCGCGTTGTTTGTCATGTCTCACGGCTGCTTGCACTGGCAGTCTGACAGCATTGTCACTGTGAAGGTAATTGAAAAACTACAATATATTATTGTTATTTATATTATAATTCAACATATAATGGCCCTATGGCTATGACTGGTGCTAATATGCCTACAAAGTATTTTTTTAAAGCGCTTAGTTTTGAGAAATTATAATTTGATAATGAAAATTTACTAGTGGGCCATAGACTCATATCCATTTTACACTGTGAACGTTGGCACTTGTTTAAGTTATTTTGACTAAAAATTATCGCATGTTAATAAATACTCTAGTATATAATAATACTGTAATTTATAGCTTATTCCCTTGGAGCATGCAAAGTGCCTACATGTGGAATAATTTGCCTTAGATCCACAGCTCTCATATAGGAGATTAGAACTACCATAAATTCTTTTACACATCCTAGTACATTTTTACGGTGGCCCACATGTGCCACGGCAAAAGCAAATTCATCACGGCAAGAGCAAATTATTCACGGCAAGAGCAAATTGCCCACGGCAAGAGCAAATTATTCACGGCAAGAGCAAATTGCCCACGGCAAGAGCAAATTGCCCACGGCAAGAGCAAATTGCCCACGGCAAGAGCAAATTGCCCACGGCAAGAGCAAATTCATCACGGCAAAATAAAAATTAAAAAAAACTGGTCAGCGGTTTGGTCAGCGGTTCTTAATTTTTGCCAGTAATTCATGTAAGAAATATATGATGGGTGCATTGAACTACTTGTGAATTGATTCGATTTATTTTCCTACTTTTATTAAACTGTAACTTTTTAAATTAAAATATGTTTTGTTCAGCTTGTGGAGTTGAACGGACTCGGGCAGAAGATAGGTTTTGTTCGAGTTGTGGAAATGGTATGTATTGTATATGATCCATTGTCGTTTCGCCTTGGCCCTTGAGAGACGTTGCTTTCAAATAAATGTTGCAGCTGCCTTATACCTTCTTGGCCCTTTTATTCTGTTTTAGTCATGCAGCTAATAGAGGTTATTTTTAAACAACATATTCAGATATGAGGAAAAATGGTCGAACATCAGAACATTCAGATGTTGCTCAACAACTATAGCCCCCCCCCCCCCAACCTGAGGCAGGAGTCAACAAAGTTTTGCCTTCTTCTCTACTTGGGGGTTGCTATCATGTTGGGGACCAACAGCAATATTGACACCCCCACCTAAACTATACTCTATGCTCTAGTTAATTTTCAAGAATAATAATACCAAGTCGAGACTTTGTAGCAAATTTGCTACAGAAACATTTCAGCTTTGCACAAACCTTGTTCTTATGTACCGATCAATTTGAAACTTCATCATCATACCTCGGGAATTTGACTTCAAGTCTTCTCCAGGGAGTAGGGAATTTGACGTTCTAGGTCTTCCATGTGGTAGGCATTTGATAACGGGGTGGGGAATTTGAACCGGAAGTCTTAAAATTTTGCCCGTTTTCGTGTGCTTCGTGCATGTACAGAAAATACTTCGCATTGGCGGCAAATACAGTTTTCTCAGATTTCAAGGGAAATGGCCCAAATTTTGTGAAAAACTGGCTCAAAGAAACGGGCATGGAAAATCTATGTGTTTCATTCAAAGGTATGTACTACATAATTGTGTAAAACTGGTAAATTTCCACAAGGTATCCAAACTTTTTACGTTAATTTCGCTATCTTGTCGAAAAACATTTCCATATATTTTGTACTTTTTGTATTTACTGTTTTATAATTTTCATGTGAAGGTGGGGCATTTGAACGCTTAATTTCTTGTTACAGTGGGGCATTTGAAGACAATTTTTGCACAGGGGGTGGAGAATTTGATCAGTCAAATTTCAAAAAGTTCAAATTCCCGGGGTCGGCCCGGGGGGGGGTGAAGTTTCGAATTGATCGATACATTAAGCTATTGTCTATTCGCATTTGGGGTAGCCTGCATGGCAGCCCAATTTTAGGAACCGCCTGCCATGCAGGCTACATTTGGGGAAGCCTCACATACTGATTTTTTCCCACGAGAAACGTCATTTGTTCGTGTTGTTGGGGTTTGGAGCTGTGACGTTTCTCAGTAAACATCATGGAAAAATTCGATAGTTTTTTCGAAGGCCTTAACATTTCGGAATTATCTTTGCAGAATAAAAAATTACATTTGTAATACCGTACCTGTTCTATATACGTATACATTTATATTATTATGCCTTCCTTGCATTGAATAACGCGCTAAAATTATCAATACTTCATGCAAAAAAAGTTGTTTTGAGAAACGTTGGAAATTTTGAAGTTTATATATATCAATGAAAAAAAATATGTCAGCAGCAGATGACATATTCCTCGCGGAAGTATCGCCAATAGCCGACCGTAGAAAATAGTAGAAAATTACCTTTTGTGTACTATATCTATAAGAACAAAATATCGATAACTATATGTGACGTTTCTAAGGGGTGGGGGGGGGGTCTCCAGAGAAACGAACATATGACGTTTCTCGTGGACAGAATCGATATGTGAGGCTTCCCTTGATCATAATTAAAAAACGCTCTATTGAAATGTTTAACAATCTTGTTAAGATTTTCTTGTGGATCAGAATGAAATAACTGATGAAGAGTCGGATGATGAAGAGTCAATAAGTAGCACAGATAGTGAAGAAATCGACGAAAAAGAACTTATTACATTTTATTTTAACCGTGGTTTTAGCTATAATGAAATAATTCAATTTCTTGCAAAACAGCATAATTTTTCTATAAGCTATAGGACACTCTGCAGACGTTTAAAGTCATATGGCCTTTACAGGCAGGGATTCAACGAACAAGTTAATTCAGAGGACATCTTAGAGATAGTGAGACGACGGATAACTGAAATTATAAATGGACCTGGATCCTGTGGTGGTTACAGAACAGTCTGGCACACCTTAAAGATGGAAGGTCTGCAGGTCCCCCGAATTGTTGTTCAAGAAATACTAAAAGAGCTAGATCCAGAGGGAACAGAGCGCAGGAAGGCTCACAGGTTAAAGCGAAGGCAGTATCATAATCCTGGCCCAAACCATTCATGGCACATGGATGGGTATGATAAACTTAAGCCATTTGGCTTTCCTGTCCATGGAGCCATTGATGGATTCAGTAGAAAAATTTTGTGGTTAAACGTGACTCGCTCCAATAATTCTCCAGACAATATTGCTCAATACTATTTAAATGCTGTAGGTGAATTTAATGGGTGTCCAAAAGTATTAATAACAGATATGGGTACTGAGAATGGATTGGCAGCATCAATCCAGTGTTATTTTAGGGATGAACTTGAAGCTCATCGCTATGTGCCATCGACACGAAATCAACGCATAGAAGCGTGGTGGTCATTTTTTGTCCGAAATAGGTCATCATGGTGGAGGAATCACTTCAAAGACATGGAGTCAGAAGGAATGTTAGATTGTGCTGCTGAAATAAGTATGGAATGTCTTTGGTATTGCTTCGCAGAGCTTATTCAAAAGGACTTAGATTTTGTAAAAGAGCATTGGAACTGTCACCGAATTAGAAAATCAAGGCATGATACAAGATCAGGGCGTCCCGATTCTCTTTTCTTCCTACCAGAACATCATGGTGCTATTAATCTTTTGAGTATGGTTCCTCAAGAAGAGATTGACTATGTTTCCCAGCATGTAGTGTATAGAAACAGCCGAAATGAATATCAAGAATACTTCGACTATGTAATGGCAACCTTGGGACTAAACAGACCAACAAAATGGGAAGAAGCAGACAATTTGTACTGTCAGCTTATGGCAATCGCCGAAAATGGTGCATGAAATGATGAAAATGTGAGCAATACAATAAATTCACTTTGAACATACTGTAGGGCAGATTTTTAGTCATGGCATTTCACCATGCATGGAGAACATTTTATTCATTTCATCTACCTTCAATAGTTATGATAATACTGAGATGATAATACTGAGATGTGTATCAATGATCAAAATTGGTTTATACAACACTATCATGCCAACTTTGGCCTGATTACTAATAAGGCCAGAAACAAGGTACTGTATATGTTTCATTTGTTGATGTTGCGAATTGTTAATCTGACAAATGGTTGTAGGCTACTGTAAATGAGAAAAATAAAGTCAAACTTGGAAACAGTAGAAACAACAGAAAACAACATTATTTAAATACTGGATATGAATAAACCAAAATGT